CACAGCCCTTAAAGCCTGGGATGCAGGTCTACGGCCAGAACAGGGTGGATGGGTGCAGGATTCATCCTGCCAAGGAAATCTTCTAGTTCTCTTTTTTATTATTCAATTTTTCCTTTCTCTTTGCAGCCTTGGCTGTTTGGCTGGCCTGGACCCACTATGTAGATCCAGCCTCAGCCTCCCCAGTGCCATCACACCTGGAAACGTTCTATATCAGCTCTGAAGATGGCCAGCAAGACCCCTTGTGCTTAGCACATCCAGGGCTAGAACTTCTATCCAGAGAACAACAGCCATGTGGTAGGGTCCCACGTTACACACAACACACACTGAAGGTAACACAAGTAATCAGACTTCTCTAGTTCTGAACCTTCTGCTCTTTGAGAGCTTTTGGTTTCTCTGTTTTGCTTACTTTGTATATGATGTTCCTGTAGGTGCATGTGTGTGTATGTGTGCCAGGGGGTCACAGGTCAGTCTTGGGTGTGGTTTCTCTGTTTTGCTTACTTTGTATATGATGTTCCTGTAGGTGCATGTGTGTGTATGTGTGCAAGAGTAGGTCACAGGTCAGTCTTGGGTGTGGTTTCTCTGTTTTGCTTACTTTGTATATGATGTTCCTGTAGGTGCATGTGTGTGTATGTGTGCAAGAGTAGGTCACAGGTCAGTCTTGGGTGTGGTTCCTCAGGAGCCATCCACCTTGTGTTTTGAGAAAGGGTCTCTCATTGGCTGGAGTAGGCTCCTAGCTGGCCACGGGAACCCCAGGGATCCTCCTGTCTGCCTCTCCAAAACTGGGGTACAGGTGCACACCTCCAGGCCTGGCTTTTTCATCTGAGTTCTGGGGATCAAACTCAGACCCTCATGCTTATATGGCAAGCACTTTTATATTTGTAGGTTTGGAAGCAGAACTTTCCTGTATTCATTGCTCAGGCTGGCCCTGAATTCCTGGACTCAAATAACCCCCCTGTCTCAGACAAGTAGCTAGATTTATACTCCCCCCAATACTCCACCTGGCTGGTATTTACTTTCACAATTGGAAAAGTAAAGCCATTCTTTCGTTCTACTGTGCCAAGTCCTGATCCCTGCCCTTAAACAAGCAAGAGAAAAAACAGTAGGGGAGAAACTGTCAGATCCTCTCAAACCCCCTTTAATTGCAGCTTATTAAAAAGTGCTGCTCCCAATGACCAATGGGATCCGGAACCCCAAAACAGGCTCTCCCTTGGTGGAGCTGCTATCGAGGAGAAACGGTCCCCTTAGCCTCTTCCCCTCTTCCTTCAGGCTACCTTATCAGAGGAGCAAAAAGCACGGGGACTAAGCCCTGCCAGCCACCTTGAAGACAAACACCAGGGCCACGTGTCTAGCCGGCACTATTGGCAAAGAACTCACTGAAACAATTCCATAAGCAGCATACAATGCTGGGACCCAGGGCTAGAGAGATGGCTCCGTGGTAAAGAGTAGTACTTGCTGCTCTTACAAAGGTCCTGAGTTCAATTCCCAGGACCCACATGGCAGCTCACAACTGTCTGTAACTCCAGTTCCAGGAGATCTGACACCTTCACACAAATGCACACAAAAAGTAAATTTAAATAAATTTAAAAAAAAGATGCTGGGACCCATCATAGAGGTCACCTCAGGTCCCTAAGGATAAGGCATTAGAGAATGGAGCAAGTGGGCCAGCTAAGCTATTTGTCTACTTCACAGACTAGGGAAACCAATGCCCAGAGAAAACATGGAAACTGCCCCAAGTCTTCACACAAACTTCTTGACCAGATAAAACCCCTTAGAACACCCGTCCAATTTGGATTGCTACATTCAAAACAGAGGCAGAAATAACAAACCTTACAAAGCCAACACAAACAGAAAATAAATAAAAAAGTAACAGGGCTCAGAACAGCTCCAGGTCAATGGTAGAGGGCTTGCCTAGCATTAGTAAAGCTTTAAATTCATCCCCAGCATCTACCCTCCCCTCCCGGCCAGAAACAAACAACTGACAAATACGGCTGACAGAGTTGACCATTACGGCTAGAGAGGGCACGGTGGTGCACACCTTTAATCCTAGCACTGGGAAGCAGAGGCAGGTGGATGGACCTCTGTGGAGTTCCGGGCCAGCCTGATCTACCTAGGAAGTTTCAGGTCTGTTAAGCCTACACGGTGAGACCCTGTCTTAAAACCAAAACAAACATCAGAGAACGTAGGTGGACAGAGAGAACTTCTCAGCTAACTTGGGGGTACTCAAACTTGGATGTGTGGGATGTCTGTTTAGGAAGTAGGGATGCTTCTGGCCCAATGACCAAGACATGTCTGCCTGAGCTATACCACTGCTGGAAACCCTTCCCGGCTCCTCATGTCCAGTCGAGAGGCATGGTAAAGTCCAGAGTCATTCAAGCGACTTCTGCTCCTCCACCTCATCCACCCTGCCTCCCTCGGCCACACAGACTCCTACTAAGCACATCTACCCCTTCCCCTAAACCTAGAACTTCCCAACTTCTCTGCCACTGGTCACACCACTGCCTGCTTCTGGACCATTCTCACATGTCCTCTGTCTGCTCCTGGAACATTCTTACATGTCCTCTGCCTGCTGAAAAATCCCACCAAACCATTATGAGCCGGGGGAGATGGAACTGGAACAACAATACGGCAGCCTGAACCTAAGGTCGGGGACCTCCTGGTCCTCACCATCCTCTGCTTTATAAAGCCAACACGGAAGCTGCTCTTTAGCAAACGTAGAGAGAATTCCTGGAACCGCTCCCAGCTCTGGAGCGGAGAAATCAGCTGTGACGTGATAAAACAGGGAACACTTTAATCCGAGCTTTGTTTTAGCAGGGAGACTGTTGCCTCAAGGAGGGACAGCTGCAGCCTCCCAGATCCCAAAGTTCGGAAGAGGAAAACACATGCTCCATGCCCACCAGTGTGTCAGGCAGGCACAGAACAGAGCCAGGCTTCTCTGGGCCCAGCCTTTAACAGCTGCGGGCTGGAGAGACAGTGCAGGGGTTGAGACCACACTCTGCTCTTGCAGAAGACTCCACTTCAGTTTCCACATCAGGGAGCTGACAAGTGCCTGTAACTTCAGCTTCCAAGAAGATCCACCTCTTGCTTTGCTTTGTTTTTTGAAACAGGGTTTCTCTTGTAGCTCTGGCTGTCTGGAACTTGCTCTGTAGACCAGGCTGGCCTCGAACTCAGAAATCCACCTGCCTCTGCCTCCCAAGTGCTGGGATTAAAGGGGTTCACCACCACCACCCAACGCAGATCCAACTCTTGCCTCCATGGGCACCTGTACTCCTGTGCACATAACTACACATATACACATTTTTGTTTGTTTGTTTTTGTTTTTCAAGACAGGGTTTCTCTGTGGCTTTGGATCGCTCTTGTAGACTAGGTTGGCCTTGAACCCACAAGAGATTCGCCTGCTTCTGCCTCCCAAGTGCTGGGATTAAAGGTGTTCGCCACCACCACCCAGCTACATATACACAGATTTAAAAATAATTTAAAAATCTTAAAAAAAAAAAAGCCCAAACCCATCTCCATAAAGGTCGGCAGCAGACACTGAGCTAGCTCCCTTTCGTCTAACTCACTGTTCTGAGTCAAACAGTGTCTGAGGCCTCATCAAACTCCCCATGGAAAGAGTAGACCAGAAGAGTTTCTCTCACTCATTCAAGGATACTGAGTCCTGGAGACACTGGGACCTGGTGACTCTGGGCAAAATCAAGAAACTCACATTCTGGGTCAGAACTATCTGCTAACATTTTCTTTTCTTTTCTTTAGTTTTTTCTTTGATATAGGGTTTCACTGTGGAGATCTGGCTGTCCTGGAATTCACTCTGTAGACCAGGCCTTGAACTCACAGAGATCCACTAAAGGCAAGCACCACCATCCCCCAGCTAACATTTTCTTATTAATCTTAGGAGTGTTTCTTTTTTTTTGGGGGGGGGGGTTCGAAACAGAGTTTCTCTGTGATTTTGGAGCCTGTCCTGGAACTAGCTCTTGTAGGCCAGGCTGGTCTCGAACTCACAGAGATCCGCCTGCCTCTGCCTCCTGAGTGCTGGGATTAAAGGTGTGTGCCACCACGGCCTGGCAGGAGTGTTTCTTTTTAATGTTCCCTCTTGACTCTGCCTTCCGAATTCCACCCAGGTTAAAATTCAGTATCCTAGGATGCAGGGCTGTGGAGTGTGCCTGTAAGTTCCAACACAGGGAAGGTGGAGGCAGGAGAATGTGAAGTCCAAGGCCAACCTGGGCTACACAGCCAGACCTTGTCCCCAGCACAAAGAACTTGGTTTCACCCAAGGGTATGTCTTACATACAGCCACACCACCCTGTTTGGGGCAGGGAAAAATCACCCCAGGATTTTTACAACAGCTATGGATTCAAGCCAACATCCCTGGCATCACCAGGGTGCCCTTATTAAGACCACAAGGACCCAACTCTATGATTACAGAAGTCACGGTTCTCGAGGTACAAAAGAAGGAATTCTGCCAGTCTCTTCTGCAGAGTCCCATTCTTGTCAAGCAACTGTGGCTGGCAAAAACCCAACCGGCCACAGCCCTGAAAAAAGGTTCGGGAACAAACTAGCCACACAACCTCCCTTCCTCCCTCCGTTTCTACCTAACAGGGTTTCTCTCTCACCACCCCCAGGTCCCTTCGTCTTACTTTCTTGAAAGCATCTGTTCACTATCTGAAACTCTCACTTCTATATTCACTTGTTTTCCTCCTTCCAAGGGATCTTAGTTCCACGAGGACACTCAGGGAACACGCAGTGCCTGGCAGCATAGGCCATTCAATAATTGGGTACAATTCAACAAGTGAACCGTCGGAAGGCCTCACTTTGTGCCAGATGCGGGGCACTGGTGGGTAACGGGCCAAAGAGGGGGCGTTCTCTCGTTCCAGCCAAAAAATGGTACAATGAAAAAGCTGGACGCCGGGGATGGAGGTCCTGCTGGAGGACCCCAGATGGTTTTGCCAAGGTTCTTCCCGCCATGAGCGCCCCCTGGCCTCGCGCCCCGCAGGCCCCGGGCTCACCCGCTGCAGCTCCATCTCGATCTCGCCGGCCTTGAGCACGATGGGTCCACGCACGGCATACTCCACCGCCTTCACCTGCGGGTTCATGGACTCCAGAGTGAGGATGCGGTCTCGAGGGCTGCGCTCCGGTCGCACCTTGAGCGCCGCGGAGGCTTCGGCTGCAGCGCTGCTGTGACTACGGACCCAGGGGCCCGAGGCGAGGGGGCAGGAGCCCCGCCGCACCAGCACCGCCGCCCGCTGCATCGCGAACCTGCCGAGGATAACCCTGGCCCAGAAAGAACAAGAGCAAGTCATTGCGCACAGCCCCAGGTGGACACCAGTCCCCGCAAGAACCCAAGGCTCTCGGCTAGCAGCGCCAGCCTAGCTCCGGGGTTGGATTCCTACCCCCTGGTTACCGGGACCCCGCGCCGCGCCTCTGCAGCATCAAGACGCTGCACAGCCGGGTGGCCCGGGCTGCACCCAATGTGAGAATGCAACGTGCCTGTCGCCGCGGAGCCGCCCGCACCGATCTGGTTAATAAGCGTCTGGGCTGCTCCCAAGCTGAGTGGCCGGCCACCGCATCCTGGCGCCTGGCACCCGCACCTTCTGGCCCCCTGCATTCGCACACCCACCGCCGCTGACTCCGCCTTGGGCCTGCGCGCTGGCTTCTGGGTCTTGTAGTTATCTGGGCCGTACCAACACTGCTGTGACGAGCTGGATAAACTACAAGTCCTCTAGGGCCTGGCGCAAGCCGGACCAGGCTGGACAGGGGGCGGGGAGCGGTTGTCTGGGCGGGTTCTCGGGGGACAGAGAATCCCTACTGTACGGCGGTAGCTGTCCTTTCCAGAGGCTTTTGGAATTTAGTTATTTGCTGCTTGTCTGCTTCTCCCTAGACGCAGATCCCGCCTCCCTCCACCCTCACCTCGCGACACCTATCGGGACGTGGACTGCGAGGTGATGCAGTTTTCTCCTTGAGTTTCATCATCCAGGCCATTTGGTTCTCAGGGGCAGCTGTTTAGGGAGTAGGGCCACTGCGACTTGATATGCCACCCTGGCTCCTTCTCAATTTCAGTGTTCTTCTCAGCAAAAAACATGGGGGTGGGGGTGGGGGGAGCGGAGCGCTCGGAAAGGACCACACACCGAGTGGTAAAGTTTTTCAATACCACTCTATCTGAAGCCTCACCTCTCCTATAATAATTCCATTTTATTTTCTTTCTAGCCTTCTCAGCATCTAAAATTACCTTGTTTAAGTAATTCTTGCGTGCTCAGAAGGGCAGGAACAGTGTCTTTCTTGCCTGTTTTCACAACTCTTGCACATAGGCACTTGGTAAATATTTGCTGAACACTGAATCCACAGGGCATGGTGCTAATTGCTTTGGGCAGAAGTATCCAGCTGGTGGGTTCCTCCACACGTGCATGGTGCACACACATAAGGGGCAAGCTTGGGACAGACTAGGTTGGGTGTGCGTTTGGTGCAAAGGCAGGATCACCCAGGCTGTGCCACAGACATCAGTCTCAGACTTTCTCCACATCTACAAAATAAACTAGGTTAAATAGCCCGTCTTTTAAAAACCTTGTTGTCCTGGAAATTGTGTGATTCTGGGAGTTTTCAGGCGGAACAGCCCACGGCTTGGCACAGCCACAACAAACAAACACACAGAGCTTGTGAGAGTTGGGGGAAGAAGATGCGGAATAAACGCAAAAGTGTAGGGGAAACAGAAGCGGGAAATCGGAGGCTGAGAGTAACTGCAGACAACCACTTTTTAATCAGAGATGTAATTAAATTAAATTTATTTATTTCCTGCAAGTAGGTCTGTATGAGGGTGCCAGATGTCCTGGAACTGGAATTACAGACAGATGTGAGCTGCCGTGTAGGTGCTGGGAATTGAACCAGGGTCCTCTGGAAGGGCACTCTTAACCTGTGAGCCATCTCTTCAGCCCCTACAACCACTTCTGAGTCACCTAACTTTAATTAAGCATGTTACTGTCCCCATGTGTGAATGGGAGTAACAGGCACCTACCATGCACAAACGAGGAGAACGTTCTGAGGAAACTTGGCGGGACATGGATACTGAAGTTGACACCGCTCTTGTTGATCTTTCCTCAAGGGAATCCCAAATGCTTTGAGCAGACAAATTGATTATTCACGAGAGAGAAATGTGCCAGGGAGAGCAGAAACCACAGAGAGTGTTCCTATCTTAGCAGACTGGCTGACTCCTCAAGTCAAAGAAGTTGCTTGGGTGGCAAAGGAGCTGCTTCTGCTTCTGCTCCATCGTCATTGTCTCTGCCATCTTTCTTCTCTTACAAGAAAAGAGATCGTTTATTAAGGCAGAGGAGCACGGAGGTGAGCCAGGCCCTTCCTGTGGCCTGTCTCCCAGAAGGCAAGAAGAAAGAGGTGCTGTTCCGGCTTTTCATTTTTATCTTATTTTATGTGTACTAGTGTCTTGTCTCCATGTTTGTCTGTGCACCATGTGGGTGCAGTGCCCATGGAGGCCAGAAGAGGGCGTCAAATTCCCTGAAACTGGAATTACAGACTGTTGTGAAGGGCCATGTCAGTGTTGGGAACCAAACCTGAGTCCTCTAGAAGAGCAATCAGTACTCCTAACCACTGGACATCTCTCCACTCCCCTGTCTGGACGTTTAGTCCAGCACCCCTGTCAACAGCTCTCCTTCCCAGCTTTTGTCTCAGTGCCCATCCATTCGGTCTCCAGGTTGGAGATTCCCCCAGTGGCCTAGAACCTCTGAGTACTTCACTGCCTTCGACGTCCAGTTAACTCACTCTGACCAGCTGAAGAGTCACACACACACACCCCCCTTCACCTCCAAATCACACTTAACTTTGACCTATTCACTGTCCTTTGAGCCGTTGTACTATCAACCCAGCTATCTCTAGCCTAACCAGGAAGAATAAGGGATCTGGGAGTTGGTCTCCCGGAAGTAAACACAAGGCTGTTTGTACAACTGAGAAAACAACACCCAGCAAGTTGCGCACTTAACGCAGGTTCCCACATCATCATTGCAAAACACAAATCGTTCATATCCCTAACAAGTCCAGTGCCACTGTGTCTCTGAGACTGTATAAGCAAGTATCCCAGGCTTGGGGGTGTGACTCAGTGGTAGATGGTCCAGAGTTCAACTCTGATGTGGGGAGGGGAGGGCACTGAGAACAAACAAACAAGCAAACACCTCCCTCGTGAACCACCTTTCAGTGTGTGCGGACCACAAAAGGGCAAGCGTGTTACTTCTGCGCTGCCGACTCTGGTTAAGCAGCTTGCTCAGTCAGGAACGTGGAGTAGGAGCTGTCTGCCCCCCATCACCTATGCCCCCCTGCCCCTCTGATTTGCTGGAACTCTAGAGTCACTCTTGTGTAACGCTCTGAATTTGGAAATTTGAACAGTTGATTGCGATGCACTAAGCTTTGGAAGTTTCTTCACGGTACTTGTAAGAGGGGGTGGCAATTCCGCGAACTTTGCTTCTCTTCAGCTCTCTCTCAGCGGGGGACCAGTATGAACAAGAGCCTAAATACTGAGACTAAAACCTGACCGAAACGATCAAGAACGTCCTTCCCCAAAGCAGAGTAAATACCGCAAGCATACAGCAAACATAGTCTGCCCACGCAGTTGGTGGTGTGTTCGGAAGACCTGGTACTTTTCTTCATCCCTTAATTCAACAAGTTCTTTGTGGAGACCCATCATGTCCTCAGCACTGTGCTGAGACATCAGTAAGTCAGACACGCTGTCCCTGTGTAGGACCATTTCGTAACAAAAGCAGATGTCATTCCGCTCATCCCACACCCAAACGTGATTACACACTGCACTGTAATAACTGCTGGGAAGAAAGGGCTCTGACAGCCAAGAAGCCTGAGGGAGAATTAGCCAGAAGTGGCCTGTGAGCTTTGGAGAAGCTAGAGGACAGCAGTATTGATAAGGTGGTGTGGGGGAGTCTTCTTGAGGCAGGAAGCAACATTTTTTTTAACCTCTCTACCCCCTTCCTCTCCAAAATAAAGAAAGCAAAATAACAACAACAAAAACCTCCTGTTTGCAGGCATAGTGCCTTGAGTCTTTAATCCTAGCACTCTGGAGACAGAGCCTGTAGGTCTCTGTGAGATCAAGGCTAGCCTTGTCCACAGAATGATGTAGTGCCCACCCCCACGCCAGTCAGAGCTACTTAATGAGATCCTGTCTCAAAAAAAGGGGATCACCTTTAATTCCAGCACTCGGGAGGCAGAGGCAGGCGGATCTCTGTGAGTTCGAGGCCAGCCTGGTCTACAAGAGCTAGTTCCAGGACAGGAACCAAAAGCTACGGAGAAACCGTGTCTTGAAAAATCAAAAAAAAAAGGGGGGGGGGATCAGCAACTTATTAAGTCTGAGACCAGCCTAGGTTGCTTGAAACCTTGTTTTGAAAAAAAAACAAACAAAAAACAAAACAAAACAAAAAAAAAAAACAAGAAAAGTGCAACGTGGTGGTTGGGGGTGGAGGTAAAGGTGCCATGTGCAAGTCTGGCAGCCCGTGTAGGCTGAAGGAGAGAACTGACTTCGCAAGGTTTCCCTGTGACCCCCGCATGGGACTGAGGCACACAAGCCCCTCCACATACATCACAAGGACACATACATACAGTGGTAATTTAAAAATAAACAACCCTTTTCCTCTCCCCAAAAAGCAATTCTGATAAGGGATTAATACCTAGATATCCAAGAAACTGAGGTACAAAAAAAATCTGATTTGAAAAGGGGGCAAGCTATCTTGTCAAACTAAACATGTCACCAAGCTTTGGGGGCGACAGAGAGTCCCTTTCCCAATGAGGAAAGTCAAGAGTCTTCTCCTGTCTTCAACTTCGGGTCTCCAAACACATGTGCACACAGATGTACACACACACACATGCATATGCCATAAATACATGAGAAAAAGGGACGAGCGAGCTGAATAGGCACCCAAGAGAAGATAACGACCAACACACATATGAAAAGGTGTTCAATATCACTAATCGTCATCAGAGAAGTGCGAATCAAAACCTTGGAATGTCATCTCATTCATTAGAAGGCTTGTATCACACACACACACACATACACAGACATACACACACACACACACACTGGCCTCGATAAGAGGAGAGGGAACTTTTATGTGCTGGTCCTGGGATATAAGTCGGTGCAGCTCTTAGGGGTGTGGAGAATCCCTGGAAAGGAGCTGAGTCTGCAAAGGCTGATGGATGAGTCCTGCAGCGGTGTGGGGGGGCTGGAATGCTGCAGATCCAGGGCCTTGTTACAAATTATTTCAGGCTAGCTTTAACCCCTAATTAGTCGTTCCTTGCTCACCTCTGGGTCACACCTAGCATCCTGTGACTAACAGATAAGACCTTTTCAGAGCCACTAACTTCCACCAACACAGATTCCCTTTAACTGGGAATATCTATGCCCTTAAAGTTCAAAATAAGGGACTCAGAACCAGATTGAACGAGCCGTGCTGGGAAAATGTACATCAAAGGTCTGAATTCCGGCTTCAAATTCATCATCAGGGTTGGCTGCATAACCACCCGACAGGACTGTTCCCAGTCTTTGCCTTGAGATCCTCTGTGCAGAATGTCTTGAATATCCATCTGATTTCTGGGCTACTTAGTGTTCTAAGAATGTCAGAAGCAGCA